GGCCACGCTCGGATTTTTAAAAAGAGGCCGTTTTCTATTACTTTATTGCCTTATTTTTCTAATCTTTCTTTTAGTGGTTCATATAGCTATTGTTTGAATTTTGCTCTGAAATTTGGTTTGCTGTCTTTTCTTGATTTTAGGGTGTTGCTCACGAGCATTAAGCCAAATCTGAGTTACAAATTTTTTCATCACTTTGGTCTATGAAAAATTTGAACTGCCATAACTGTTGATCCAGCCGTTAGAATTGGCAATATTATATATGCTTTTGGGGTAGAAAAATGAGATGTATCTCCTGCCAATCGACAGAGTCCATTGGCCACGCTCGGAGTTTCAAAAAGAGGTCGTTTTCTATTTCTTTATTGCCTTATTTTTCTAAAATTTCTCTTCGTGGTTCATATACCTATCCTTTCTATTTTGCTCTCAAATTTGGTGTGCTGTCTTTTCATGATTTTAGGGTGTTGCTCACAAAATTTAAGCCAATTCTGAGATACAAATTTTTTCATCACTTTCGTCTCTAAAAACTTTGAACTGCCATAACTTTTGATCCAGCCGTCAAAATTGGCATTATTATATATGCTTTTGGGGTAGAAAAATGAGATGAATCAACTGCCAATCGACATAGCCCATTTGCCACGCTTGGATTTTCAAAAAGAGGCCGTTTTCTATTTCTTTATTGCCTTATTTTTCTATACTTTCTTTTAGTGGTTCATATAGCTATCCTTTGAATTTTGCTCTGAAATTTGTTGTGCTGTCTTTTCATGATTTTAGGATGTTGCTAAAAAAATTTAAGAAAATTCTGAGTTACAAATTTTTTCATCACTTTGGTCTATGAAAACTTTGAACTACCATAACTTTTAATCCAGCCGTCAGAATTGGCCTTATTATATATGCTTTTGGGGTAGAAAAATGAGATCTATCAGCTGCCAATCGACAGAGTCCATTGGCAATGCTCAGATTTTCAAAAAGAGGTCATTTTCTATTTATTTATTGCCTTATTTTTCTACACTTTCTTTTAGTGGTTCATTTAGCTATCCTTTGAATTTTGCTCTGAAATTTGGTGTGTTGACTTTTCATGATTTTCGCGTGTTGCTTACAAAATTTAAGCCAACTCTGAGTTACATGTTTTTTCATCACTTTCGTCTATGAAAACTTTGAACTGCCATAACTTTTGATCCAACCGTCAGAATTGGCATTATTATATATGCTTTTGTTGTAGAAAAATGAGATCTATCACCTGCCAATCGACAGAGTCCATTGGCCACGCTTGGATTTTTAAACAAAGGCCATTTTCTATTTCTTTATTGCCTTATTTTTCTAAACTTTCTTTTAGTGGTTCATGTAGCTATCCTTTGAATTTTGCTCTGAAATTTGGTGTGTTGTCTTTTCACAAACTTTTTCATAAGTTAAAACTAACTTATGTACAAATTAATTAATTTGGATATTTTTTTGAAAAAATTAAATGAACAAATTTTTACAAGTTAATTTATACATAAATTAATTTTAGCTTACGAAAAAACTTATCTTATTTTTCTTTTCTATTTTTTCCTCCTTTTTTCTTTTTCCTTAAAAGTGTTTCTCAAGAATTTTATCCCAACTTCCCCCGAGTAGAATCTTATTTTGAAATTGAGTTGTGCTATAACTTTAGTAGAGTTGTTTATGCTCACTAAGAATCTTCCATAAGCAATCAAATCAAAGAACCTTTTCATGATGCAATTCGATTTAACATTAATCAGTTCTAAGGAATCATTCCTCCATTATGCTATAAACATTTTTCAGACAACCAGTCTAAATCTATGTTATAGCAAAGATCAAACACTTTTGGCTCATAAAGCTTGCTTTTTATTCACCAAATAACAAAGACAATATTTTGCTAATTTTCAAAAGACATTGTAATTATTCAAATGCAATTTTTATTTTCTTTTGCTACAGAACTTTCACACACACAACTTTATAAACCATGACTAAATATATATGCCAGCTCATCATTGAATCATAATTATTCACATGATGGTGCAGGGTGCATGAACGTTGTCATCACTGAAGAGAAACACTGTTTCATCCTGGACAGTACAGTATGGTTGATCAGGAAAATAGCCATAAACACTCTCATTGTAACCATGCCTGTAGTAGTTATAGGAAGAAGCAAAAGTGGACTCATCCAAGTATTCTGAGGCATAAGGGTAGTATTCACTGTCATAAGGGAATGGCCAATATTCTGCCTTTCTTCCTGTTCTTCTCACAACCCTTAATACCTTCCCTTTCTCCACATATCCAGTTACTGTTACCTTCTGCTTATCCATGTCTATATCCAACCTATCAATTCCTGCATGCAACATTTCACACCTCTTCATGAACCCTTAAGTTAATAACAAGTTATATGTATAATGTTTCTTACAAAATATTAACTTTTACCCTACCCCCTCGCCAGAACTATTCTAAAGGTAAAGCTATATACTATAAAGTTTTAATTTTAGGTTTACCATAAAAAAATGTTTGACATTAATTTTTATAATTAAAAGTAAAAATGACACATATATTGTTAAAAAAGACTCAACATATCCTTTTCTTATTTAAAAAAGAGTTCTTTCTAAAAAAAAAATACTTTAAACCTCACTTATCGTTGGATAAAATTTGTCTCACACTTTTTCTTTTATAATAAAGAAAAGGAGGGAAAAAAAACCTTTTTTTTATCTCCCATTTTCACCATCAAAAATATGTTGTGTGTGGGGTGGTGTAGGGTATGGAGATATTGTTAAAGTTATATATACAGAAATGAGTTTTTCACACTCTTTTGGAGTGACACTTATTTATACCCATGTAAAATAAATTGGATTTCGAATGTGAAAGGAAAGGTAGAGAGAAAGTGCAAATTTTTTTTTTTTATCAGCCAACAAATATTTGTAGTAATAGATAGTACAAAGTGTGCGAGAAAAAATGAGTTTAAACGAACAATAAGCACTCCTAAATATATGGGGCATGCAATAGTAAATTTTAATTCTATGAAAATGGAAACTAACAGAAAATCGTCAAGAAATTAATAAAAGATCAATGAAAAGCTTGATAGTTAATTTAATTATTTTAAACATATAGTTGTAGGGACAGAGATCACATGCTGCATTTATAGTTAGCATCCACTGTGTATTCCACAACAATAGAAAACAAAAATAAATTTCAAGGGAAATATGTGCATGGTTGAGCTCTTGCCATTCAATTTGGAGATTGCCCTTCTAATTCTCTCTTCACATCCTTGGCAATCCATATGCACCTTAAGTTCTACAATCTACATCCATGAAACGAAAAGTTGGAGGTGAAACTAAACCAAATAGATGAGCTCATTTGTTAATGATCATCGTATATATGTAATGAGAAAAAAAAAAAAAAAAGTTGGCACTTACAGACAAAGCATTAGGAAGTTTTGTTTTCCGAGGTCTCCATCCAAACATGTTATACATGTTGTTTTATTGCGGGGGCTAATTAATAATGCTTCTCCATATATATATTATCTCAAGGAACAAGGCACTCCCAAGTGTACGTGTATGACAACCTAGCTTTGTACTAAAAGTTACATTGTTTAATATATATCTCCACGCAGATATGCTGAACCTATATAGACTATAGTGTTTGATAGGCACTGTTCAATTTCATCATATGGGCATGCATTATTAATCAAGTAGATAGGAATATGAAACAATAACATTAAAATTTTGGAATATGAGGAATATATAATTGGGACTGATAAGGGGTGGAATATATACTTAATTTTATTCATTTTGTGTGGTAAAATGTGTTGTTATTGGACACAAATCACCTGTCTTTCTTTACGTGTCTCCTTTCTTGTTATTTTTACAAAATACTTTAGAAAAAATAATAAATAATTGAGACGATTTCTCAAAACAAAGAAAACATTTTTTTAAAATACGGGTATTTATTTTATGTGGAGAATGACGAAAGCATCAGTCAAAAGACATGACTAATTTAAGTAATTTAAACAAACAAACACATATATATAAAAGGAGAGATTTACTTATCAAAATTTTCTTTACTCAACAATTTATATTTTATATCAAATTTTAAAAATTTAATTATTAAATATAGAATTTTTAATACATGGATAAAGTATACAAATTTAGAAAAAAAACATGAATTATTTTTATAATTATTCATCAATATAAATTAATAAAATGAAGTATAAAAAATTATTTCCAATTTTTTTAAAAGTTTGTATATAATTTATACATTAATTATTAATTTATACATTAATTATTTTAAATTCAACAATTAAATTATTTAAATTTGATGTAAAATTTATTGAATGAAATAAATTTATCAAAATTTATTTTTGAAGTAAATATATATATATATTTAAATTATCAGTTTTAGCACGGTATACTGAGTAACGTACAACTGCTGCAACAAGGAACTTATTCCAACGACGTTGGATCACATGGGCTTTAGCCACAATTTGCAAATTCCAATTTTTCCATTTTATGAGTTCGAAACTTTATTAGATATAGAAACCTAAAGAAGTGGAATTTGACACCTTAGTCAGTAAGCATTTTAGACCTTCGAGGAAAAGTGTGAGAACCCTTTTCATTTATTCTCAACCATGCATCCTTGCCTTTCTATGAGTGAAAATGTTTCATCTTTCATTCAACGAGTATTCTTTGACGGCGACATTAAAACATCGGAAAAATCTTTAAGAACAAGTAGTCAAGAAAACATGATATCATAATCGTATTAAGCCTAAGTTTTAAGGCATTAGAGTTAATTATATATTCTTTTCATTTATATATATGTTCCTCAATTTGTACATCTTTTTATCAGTTAATGTGATTTTTCTTTCGCTTGACATTATCAATATTTATTTTCCATAGATAAAAAATATAAATTTTAAAAATCTGAAAATAAAAGTTATATTTGAATAAAAAATTATTTTTTTAATAAAATTAATGAATAAATTTATATTTTTATCAAGAAGCTGAAACAAAAGTGGGAAAATATTTTCTCAAAATCAAAAGGTTTCTACTGTTCTTTCAGTTTTTGTTGTTGGGTATATGTGCTTCTTTCCTTTTTACATAATTATTTATTCTTCATAGATGAGGGGCACATTTAAAGTTGAGATCAATTGTTGTGATATGTCTCATCTAGGTGAGGCACACCAACCCAACCAAATATGTAGCTTTCACAAATTTCATCTCACAACCATTGCATTGGCATATGCTTGGAGATATTAACCACTCACTGGCTCTCACCTTCACTTTCATAGCCACTCTCCAATGAAATCAGATTTGGGCCACCTGGCTCTTCAACCCTAAGTCATTATGTCTCTCGACACCTTGAGAATATTCCTCATATATATGAGTACCCTTGTCCATGCTTAATGCTCCCGTATACCAATTCCTCTATTTTTAATTGTCCCAGAGTAAAAAGAAAATAGAGTGAATTGCATAAATATTTTTTTTAACTTTTTTTTTATCCTTATAATAAACCTCCTGAATATTGTTTGAAAAATATGTAGAGCTGATTCGCCGGGTAAGATCGGCGAGCCTCCTTCACTGGTACGCTGGTGTTCCAAGATGGGGGTGGTACCTGCAAAAGAGACTCCGATGCTAAAGTTAGTGTTTGTGGGAGTATGAGTCTCGTATAAATAATGCACATACCTTTGTGTGAATTAGGGTTGCCTTGGGTCTTGAGCATGAGATAAGACATGATATGATAAGATATCATATGATATGATATGATATGATATGATGAGATATGATATGATATAATTGGAGGGCGGTTCTGATCTGGGACGAGATCCCCGGGTTCGGGAATGATCTGCCCAAATACCGGGCCCCAAATACCGGGCTGACATCGCTCAGCGTGTGCTCGGGGTGGCTTTGTATCGCTAATCCGGGCTCGGAGCCCGGGTGCGAAGTACGGTCAGTACAAATACTAATACTTCTTATTCATTATTTTAAATCTCTTTGATTATTTAAAAAGCCTTAAATTGTGATCGTATAAGAGAAATTACTGTAAATCTTTAAAAAAAATAGAGGTATTAATTCAATTTTGAAGAATTGTAAGGAGTGTCGGTGTAATTTACTAAAAATAAAGTTAATTAATTTAATAGAACAATTCGTTTTTTTTCCCTACCCTTAATAAGTTGAAAATGCATTGTAACCTTAATTTATTACATGATAAATTAAGAGAAGATTCGATTTGTTTATTCGGTTACTTCACTTGAATAAGTATTCTCTTGAATAATAGTAATATACAGATCAAGTTAGGGAAATATAGATAACTTCCTCACCGGGAAGCATCGAACAAGGTTCTCTCATTCTCCAATAAATTAAGGACATGTTATAAGTTATAACCTCCTAATTTAGTTACGGTATATGAGTGTTGAACTCCTCTGCTTAGTATTATTTTATAATTATAGATAGTCTGATAAACTATATTACGTTATACTGGTAAAAGACACACTTTTAAAATTAATATATATTTTTTATTTTTTAAATTAATTGTTTGATCTAATTCAAAAAAGTCAATTTTGCAAATCTGAACTTTAAAGTTGAGTGATAACTGATTTTAAAAATCAACTTTTATAATTAGTTATTTATAACCAATTTTAAAAAGTTTTGACATCGATTATTTATAACCAATTTTTTGTAAATTGTCAACTTTTAAAATCGGTTGTCCAGAGGTATGATTTTTCCACTCTAATGGTCCAAAACCTTTTCATCTTCATCAAAGACTGCTTTTCCTTCATTCAACCAAGAAAATCTCTCTATTACATCTTATTATAGTCATTTTGGAATGCTTATGACTCTGTGGGGCTTATTGAACCATGTATAGGTGGAGCAAACAAACTCAT